AACAACAACAAACAACCCCACAATACACACATGGATGCACAAACACCCATGTCCATGCTTACTTCTGTGACATGCACATGTGTGCAGCTTCGCACATGCATGCCTCCAGCACACATTCAGTGACATGAGTATGCTCACAATATCATGTACTCTCTCATACGTATTCACATCCCATTGCCATCAAGCCAGTTCTGACTCATAGTGGCCCTTCACTGGGTTTCTGAAGTTGCTAATCTTTACAGGAGGAGATAGCTCATCTTACTCCTGAGCAGGAGATGGTGGATTAGAACTGCTGACCTTTTGGTTAGCAGTGAAACACATAACACACCAAGACACCAGAACTCCTTAACCAATTCATCCCATTCACACAGGCAGAGTAAATGAAAACAGATATTTGCTGAAGAGAAAGAGCACTGATAGGCGTACTTTGGCATGCATGTGGCAGCAGTATATACACGTGGCATGATTTCTGTACCTCAAGCCCACACCCTTGGACTCTCCGAGAGCTATGGCCATGAGCAATTCTGGCTGCCAGTACTCAGGGCTCGACTCTCAGGAGGGGAAAGACTGCGATGTGCCACTTGAAAACTCATTTCCCTATCAGAAGGCGGGGAAGATTTTGAGGGCCCCTGGGTCTGTTGCCCACCCCTGCCAAGCCCTGAGCTGGGCCCCTCTAGTTCAGACCACTCAGCCACTGAAACTGGACTGGTTGCTATGGAGAGGACCAAGCATTTTGGAATACAATGGGGCAAGTTGAGCCCTCACCACCCCCCTGTTCCCTCCTCTCAGCACACCCATGGAGCCTGGCACACAAAGGGGCAGCAAGTCCATCCCTAAGCCTGGCCCCACCACTAGCCAGAGCTGGTGGGGCCTGTGAGAAGAGACAGTGGCAGACAAGAAACACATTTGACTGAATCTCAGGATCCTTCTGCTGGTTGATGTTTGCTCCAAATGAAGATTTGTTGATGAATGAGTAAATAATAATGCCAACCATGAAACAGAAGACATGAGCGTGACAGAACTTAGTTCTCACAATAGCTGCGTGAGGTCAGTTCTAAAGTGTCCCTGACTTAGCCACAATCACAGAGCATAGGAAACCACACCTCCTTTCTGTGCTGCTGTAAAGGGGGCAAGCCCCACTCACTTGCTCACTCCGAAGGCTGCTACCAGGACTATGCCAGAAAAGTGCAGGCGTTCTCCAACTTGGGTTTCTGCATGAAACCCCAGTTTCAAAGGACATTTTAGTCAGAAGCTCACTAATAATGAAATAATCAAACATGGTTTGTTCTGGAGGGAGGGAGACCTGGAATCTACCTGTTCTAACTTTCCCTTCATTCACAGAAAATACCTCTGCACGCACAGGACCTGGTTTGAGAGCACTAGGATATGCCAGCACCAAGCAGATTGGAGCTCCAACTATGACAACTATTGTTGAAATTATTGTTATAAAAATTATGCTTTTGAATTTTATGAAGTAAACATGTTTTTCAAAAGCATTCCAAATTATCCTGCCTTTTTAGTAAGCCCCTTCTTGATGGCTCTAAGGCAGCAGTGTTTGTAAACTCCTAGGGAGTTGTTACTAACTCAAAGGCCACACCTTTCTGAAGGTTCAAATCCACCAGCTGCTCAGTGAGAGACAGCTAATCTGCTGTGTGATCTATAGCCTGAGAAAGTTGATGATGGGTCAGCTATGTTTGAGTCAGTTCCAACTTGACAATAAGTTACTTTGCTGTCTGTTATTGTGAAGTTCCACTGAGTCATCTTCAACTCATAGTAATCCTAAGAACAACAGATCAGAACCTGACCCTGTCCTGTGCCATCTTCATAATTTCTGCCGTGTTCAAGCCCATTATTGCAGTCATTGTGTGGGTTTATCTTGTTGAGGCTCTTCCTTTCTTTTGCTAACTCTCTTTTTCTGTTATTCAGCCTTTTTTGATAATATGGTGACATTAGCTGAGCAATTTTTTAAAAATTTTTACTTTATTATTTTGTGTGTGTACCGTCAAATCAAATCTGACTGGTACAGGAGGAGATTGCCCCACTTTCTCTAGCAGAGCATTTGGTGGATTTGAACCACATACCTCTGGGATTGCAGTGCAGCTTCTTGCCACTAGGCCACCAGAGCTCCCTGAGCAGTTTTTTTTAAATGCTGGAAACTCTCTCATCTTGTGAGATTTTAGATCAGCTTCTTAGGAATATTCTCTCTATTGCTTTATTAAGACAAGCAGCTTTCCCAAACCTACCCACAGCAAAGCACTCATTACCAGTTATAACTGTTGTTAGGTGACATTGAGTGTACGACTCATAGTGACCCTATGAACAACTGACCTTAACCCTGCTCTGTCCTGTGCCATCCTCATCATCTCTTCCACACTGGAGCTCATTGCTGAAGTCACTGTGTCAATCCATCTTGTTAGGGGTCTTCCGCTCCTTCGCTGACCCTCCATCTATCTTAGCATAATGTTCCTTCCTAAGGAATAGCTTCATCTATCTACATGTCCAAAGTATAAGAGACAGAGCCTCTTCCTCTTTGCCTCCAAGGAACACTCTGGCTGCACTTTTTCCAAGGTGTAATCTATTTGTTCTTTTGACACTCTGTAGTATATCTAATACTCTTCTTGTTATTATGAACATAAAATAAGATTTACTGAGCACATAGTCAGAGGTTGCTCACTGCTGGGCCCTAGAAAGACAGAGATGATGGCCCACTGAGTTCAGGCTGGTTGG